CTTTAAGTAGTACCATTTATTCCTAATTTGTGAGAAACAATCTATTCAGAAGTATAAAAGCCTAACAGTTGTTTCCTACCTCTCATTTTCCTCCAAGCTCTTTCAAAATGCCTACCTATATAAGCATGCTATGGATTTAAGTGGTGGTTAGGTAAGTTATACACTGCCCATATAATATGCAATAGATATTTAATATAAATAATACCAAATGAATGTATGCAAAACTGTTTCATTAGTAGAAAACTATATTTAGGTTCCTGGATCATTAAAGTTGTAATTATAAGGATAAAATATATCTAAGGAAAATACAAAAATCTGCTAATATTTCCTGATGTCTTACTATATAACAGTGAGTACTAGGAAGATGTTTATGTTATTTCATCTATAAAAATGGCAATAGCATTTGTGGATTTTTGTGTGTAATTTCACCATGCCCAAAGGCATAGACATGTATTCACTGTAACTTCAATACATACAAATTCCACTCCTACGAGATAGGGGACTGATAAGTAGTGTGGACACAGACAATGGCCTAATCTTCACATTTCACTGGGATTTACTTGATGTCTAGCTGTCATGGAGTACACAGTGATTTTTTGTTATTATTGATTTTTTTGTATGTGAAAATGGCTTTAAGAAGAAAGCCAAATGCTTTTATTGCATTTTATGAAATAAATTCCATACTAGAGTGCTATTCAGCAATTTGGGAATGTATGAGGATTATGGAATCTGTTTTACTGTGTCTCAGACTGTCACTGAGAGAAACCTACCTGAATCCATTATGACATGTAAGAGAATATTCTCTCTTAAAGCTTACAGAATTAAAGCACCGTCCCATAAAATAAACTGCTATAAATACAAAGTTAAAATAAAGCCTTCCCTCTAAGGTTTAAGCTTAAGGGGACTAGTCCAAGCTGGTCTGGAGACTTGGTTGGCTCTTCTCTGCAGCATGTATCTAAAAGCCATGTGCCTTTCACAGTCCCTGCTACACAATGTGGAGACTTTCTCATGAACCTCCTTCCTGGAGACTTAAGTTAACGTGTACACAGTAGTTACAAGGGATCTAATGAGATTCCCTCCATCCTGGGTGTAGACTATTTTTCTACTTATTTAAGAGAGACATTAATATCCCACTATGTTCCCCCTTTGCCCTTCTTGCCTCGGATTCAGAGATTCCCTACCAAATCCAATTTTGAACTGAGTTAGAAACTACTGTACAGCTAACATAACATTAACTGTTCTCTTTACTCATTTTGCTGCATGTTCCCAGTACAGATGCTCATTTAGAATCATGATTCATAGTTGTGATTCATATAGAAGTCAATCCGTCCTCTGCCTTTTCAACTAACTGTATTACTGAACTCCCTTACTTTCAAATTTCAGCCCCAGAATATATTTGATGAACAGGTGAAGTAAGCTTGGCTGTAATCATGCTATATAAACTTGTCTAATCCATGCTTTATTTCTCTTTACTTTGTGAATATGTATTAATAGCTACGATATCAGTGATTCTTCCAAATCTCTGAGAGAAGCCACAGAAAACAGAATGGAAGGCTAAAGAAAGGATGCCTTGATTCCTCTGCCTAGAAAATAATGCCAAGTTTGTGACAAGGCTCTCTGTCTGGAGGGGGGATTCTGCACAGAACTCTTTGTTAAATCTATTTATAGGCCTGTAACGAAGATAATCGGGGGAAATACACCAGGTTCTTAATAACTGTGTCCTAGTCTAGATAAACCACTAATTCACTACCTTATAGATATGGCCATGGTTTTCACAAAATATTCTCTGGAGCAGTCAAATACAAATAAAAAGAAATTTGTTTTTTTCTTAACCCATTAGCTACTGGTAAGAATTTTGACTATTTAGCCCATAAGTGTTGTTAGAACAAAATTTTAAATGCCTTATGTTTACTTTAATGTTTGAAGATTTTTTTTACAAAATAATATATGCACAACTATTACAGACCATTTAAAATTTCAGGAAAATATAAAGCAGTAGAAATTATTCATATTTTCATGGACCCAATTTATGTAATTGGCCCCTGCCCATTGACCCCATATTAGCCATTATCTCTGGTAGGTTAAACAAACTTCATGGAATGTACTCAGGACAGTGTTACCTTGTTCCCCACATCCTTTTAAGTCATTTTAATCCATGTCTAGAGAGGAACATTCTTTCCTAAACACTTAGAGGAAAACTTCTGATTACCCGATATAATAAAAGGGTAATATGCAAATTGACCAAACCGCAGAATGACTGGTCGCTATGATGTGCACTGACCACCAGGAGGCAGACACTCAATGCTGGAGCTTCCTCCTGGTGGTCAGTGCACTTTCACAGGGGGAGTGACGCTCAACTAGAAGCCAGAAGCATGGCGAGTGCAGTGGTGGTGGCAGGAGCCTCTTCTGCCTCCGAGGCAGCACTGAGGAGCAGCAAGCTGAGCAGTAAGGAGTAGCGAGCAGGTGGGCGGTAATGAGCAAGGCTCCCAGACTGCCCCCGGAGCGGTCCCAGACTGCAAGAGGATGCAGGCTGGGCTGAGGGACCCCTCCGGCAAGTGCACGAATTTTTGTGCACTGAGCCACTAGTTGGTAATATAATGTCTAATTTGAGCCAATTGTCATAAGCAACTAATTAGAATGCCTAGTTCTGATACCATGATCAAAATTCTATTCTTGAAATTCATCTTCTTACCCCTCCACCAGATCAGGTCAGTTATTGAAGGAGTGAACTCTGTTTTATTTTCTTCACCACCGACTAATGATACTCATCTATAAATTAAAAATAACCATAGTCCCTACATCAATAATACTGTTATTGTAAGGATTAATGTGATGATACATAAAAAGTACTTAGCAAAATATCTAGCTCATATTACTAGCAATGTTACCATGGGAAACAAACATGCATTTTCTGCTCTCAGCTCTGGCTCGCAGACCAATCCCAACACATGCATCATTTGTTAGATGCTAAGCAAAGGTATCTCTCTGATTCTCTGGTGAGTCAGACACCAGTCTACTATGCCTCTCATACTGCAGAGTATATTCATTAAACCCTCCATGTGGTTCCACTGAAGCCCCAAGTCACTAAGTTTGCAGTGGAACTTATATTTCTCCAAAATTACTATTCAAAAAACCCTTTCCCCCAAGTCTTCAAACCTTTCCTACCCCATATAAAAGTAAGGGGTTTAATAATTGTCTTACATGTTTTCAACTGTTTTGTTTGAAATATTGGTGTTGGGTAGCTCATTTTGAAAGATCTATTCTTTTATATATTAAAATCTCAGTTAAAAACTCCAATTTAGCACCTTCATCTTCTTTCTTTCTTTCTTTCTTTCTTTCTTTCTTTCTTTCTTTCTTTCTTTCTTTCTTTCTTTCTTCCATTATCTATCATCTATCATCTCTCTATCATCTATCTATCTGTCTATCTATCTATCTATCTATCTATCTATCTATCTATCATCATATATCTACTTACCTGTCTACTCTAACTACATCATACACGCACGTATACATACACATTAAAGATTCAGGATATGAGATGACACTGACTGGATGTAAATCTTTATTGATTCATGTAAGTAGCTGTTCACCTTTGAGCTAGCTAGTCACTTATTCTTTTTTTGCCTTAGTTACCATTCTACCTCAAAAAATGGAGTTACTGTGAAGATTAATGTGATAACACATAAAAGGTCCTTAGAATAATATGCAGCTCATATTACTAACAATATTACACTAACAATAAGAATAACATAATCATTATTATTATTATAAATGTCCTCTTTATAACTTATTTGTTTGATTTATGAGAATTTCCACATCATTATTCTTCTTTGCATTGTAATTATTGTACAGTATTCAGCTGTACAAATGTAACATAAATTTCAATACTTAACTGGATATTCTGTCACATCACTGGTCATCATTGTGTTTATCAACTCTGTTTTATTCCCCTTTAGAATATATTGATTGAACTGGAATTACTGGATCAAAATGTGATTATTTTAAAGCATTTAATACACGTTGACAAATTATCCTGTAAAAATTTATAGCAGTGTATACTATATTTTCATGACCATCTTAAAATTCTGGACAGTTATATATTATCACACACCGATTTAGGTGTAAGGGCATCCTTGGAAGATAATAAAGAACAGGCACAGGATGTTCTCTTGCCTCCTTACAGAGTATGCCAACAGATTTCTGAAACTTTTTCAGACCTGGCAATTAACACAGCTCATCTAGGGTTGGGTGAGGACAAATCCAATAGATCTTCAGAACCAGAGAGTTCCAGTGATATAACTATACTGACCATTATTTTTAATAGTAAAAGAAAATTAAGTACAAATGAGCAATAGTGGCTGTCTGTGATGGTGGCTCATTATGTGATACTTAGATCAAACTGCTTTAATTATGTAAATGCATCTAGTGGATAAGTGTTAATAAACTTCTATTTAAATAAGTAAATCAAGAATCTGCTTCTCCTAAGCATATTTCCGTTCAATTAAATTCCTAGCACAGTCAGTAACTGTGAAGTTATACAGTTGACAAAACCAATCACTAAGGAGTATAAATCAGCCAGATACTAGTCTAACATAAAGAATATAGTAATTAGTCAGTTTTGTCAATAGATTAAAAGTTTCACATATGTCATAAGAGGAGGACACCATTATTCTCATTTTTAGTATTCCAGATAGGTATCATTATGAAATTTATGCCAATTTTATCAAGGTCTCACAAACTCACTAATGCTTGGCTTACAGTATCTTCTGTATTAAGTAATAAGGATAACCACCTCTTTTTCTTAAAAATGTTAATTTAAAATGTTCTGTTTTGGAAAAGCCATCTTGCTGTGTCACTCTCTGCCTTGCTTACACACACACACACACACACACACACACACACACACACACACGCAACACACTCACAGAGGCATATAACTGCAATAAAGCAAAAAAAAAAAAAAATTCATCCCACCACCAAAAAATAACCATTGGACCAACCTTATAAAGTAGTGGCAATTTTCCTAATTTCAGGAGTGCAATCTGGTTTGTTATATTTCTCATATTTTTTATCCTTTTTAAATCATCTGCATTTCCATAACTCACATCAATGATTCCAGCCTGAAAGAGAAGGGGAAAAAAGCACACACAAAGGAAAATAAAGCCTTGTTGGAAGAATGATAGCAAATCCATTTGGTATGACAAAATCATTCCTAGAATGTGAAATGGTCAAGGGGAATCAATTCATTCTCTTCCCCTGTCCCAATAACCACAAACCTGCCCTTTCTACTTCTGTCAGGTACAGTGACTCTTGTGGTCACTTGAGAAGATGTTTGAGGGTCATGTTTGCTTGGTCATCTCCCTTCTCACGAAGTTACAGACCACCAAGTTTATTGTATTCTGGATTCGTATTTCTGGAATTTGAATCATTTTATAAAACACTGCAAGATTAATTCCCTTAAGGTTCAACTACAGCCATACCATTCTCAGGCTGAAAAACAATTCAAAGACCCTGTACTGTTATCCAAATTGAGTTCAAAGTCCATCATGGAAAGCTGTTCAGGTTGTGCATGTATCTATGTGTGAATAATAACCTCTTGAGTTATGATGGACAAAACTTATACTCCCGCCTGCATCAATCTGGCATTCAAGGACTTTAGAATATGGTCCCAAACTACTACTATTTCTGTCATAGCGCCCCCCCCATCCCAGACAGTTATACTCTACATCAATATTTCTCATTTTTAAAAGTCCCCTGTTATTAACATAAAAATGACATGACTTTCTGGAGATCCTAATGGGCATCCTCTGATATAGTTGCCCTTTCTTACTCCTTGAAAAGCACTGCACTGAAGGTTTTCTCAAACACATATTCCTATGAGCCAAGATGATATATTTCATCCCTACTTTCTGTAATTTCCATTATAAAAATAGTTGTTATGCTTTTCACTGGAAAAAATGATATTACAACACAAAATGTGCTGTTTCAATCTCCAGCATATCTACAAGGAAGTGTTGATACGGACTTAGTGGTGCCAAGCAGTGAAAGTATGAAGAAGGAGGATCCAGATCTTGAAATGCCCACGGTTGTCAATTGGAGCTAATGCACTTCAGCCAGTATTTGAAAAGGGCTTCCATAGAAGTCTCACTTCAGGAAAGAATTCTGTTTTTAGAAGAACATATGAATACCACCAAGAGATTGGTAAGTGTGTTAGAAGAAATATTTCTGGCATAGAGAGTATTTCCTTAGCAATTAATTCATATTCATTTGTAAGAACTTTACAACATACATTAAAACTCATTTCAAATGTTATCTGCCTGCTGAATTTTATTTTTCTGATGCTCAATTCTAATTTGAATCCAAGTTTCTGTCTCTCTTAACAACCCCCCAGAACCCATAAACTTATCTATGTTTCATTTTCTAGTACAGTGAAATTTTCTTAGTGATGGGTCCATTGTGTACCCATTCTCACCCAGGTACCCTGCATACACTGTTGACTTATCTGTCTTAAATTAAAATGATTACACATTATAAAATATCTCTGAAAAGTAAAGCTGTACTTTCAAATGGATTTGCCAAGAAAACCTAATTTGTTAAACAAACTTCTGTCAGAATATTTTTATTATAATTTTCTTCCAATAAAAATGTGATTAAATCAGTGCTTTATTAATACCACTTTTGAGTTTGCTGATGCCATTATGATATGCATATTTGTTGATTTAGGAATTTAAAGACTTGATTAAATAACTGATCACATAATATTAATACTCACATTGAAAAATGAGATAATTCATAGTTTCCATTTTAAATTTTTAAGCTACCTACTAATTATTTGTGATTCACTGAGAGCATCTTAAAACAGGGTTATTACTCAATTGGTTACATTAAAGAACATCTTTTTCTTATTTGAGAGAGTTTGAGGGGAAATCATACTGGTCTGAGAGGATGTAGACCAGTCTGTGAGTTGTTTTGTTGTGTACATACCAGGAAGGTATGGCAGCTACAAAAATAAAAATTCTGTAAAAGATATTTAATTATTGGAAAATAGCAATAACTTGCATCAACAATGGCAGTTTCAATTAAAGAATTTTTCCACTCATCTTCTACAAATAGCACATGTCAACACATTAAAGCATTTTAATATACTAGTAATAGGGTTGTTATTTTTCACAAAAATATTCCTCAATACAGGAATTATTATGTTATTATATTAGTTGATTTTATTTTGGCTTATGCACTTTGAGGTTATTCATTAAAAATCAGTAATTACAGAAGTCTCAATTTTCTGAAGGTATGACAGGTGATAATAAAAATGTATTTATTGCTTTTAAAGGAACCAGGTCCTTTCTAAATGTCTTTCCTATTTACCTTCGAGCAAGCTGAAAATCACAGCTGCAAGAAAGCACATTGAATTTTTCTTAGACACAAATCAATATACAGTGATATGATAAAATGTCAAGCCATTTCTTTCCACACATTCAGTTGCAGCAATGCACCTCTTCTTACTGTATGTATGGTGTCTCTCTAGAAAACTGTTCACTAAACTGGTTGGACTACTATGATTAATTTACATGAAAATATTAAGAATGGAGTCACACCCAACTAGTCTCTTTGGGGAATGTCAAATAAGCAGGAACCTAATGACCTGTTTAACTATTTACTCCATGTGCACCCATTGTTCTATTGTGGACTTCATTGACACATAGGAGAGAGTACTGAGAGAGACAGAGTAACATGGAACTAGTTCTATTGTGGACTTCATTGACACATAGGAGAGAGTACTGAGAGAGATAGAGTAACATGGAACTAGTTCTGTTTTGTTTTAAAGGTTTTCTTTTACCAAAGAAAAATATGAAAAAATCTCCACTTTAAATTTGTTTAAATAATATGTTAAATTTCAAACTGAGAACAAATAAAATAACAGAAACAATTCAGACAAAAAATCAAATATTTTATACTTGTCAAAAAAACAACAACAACACATATTGAGATGACAACAGAGAGGAAGATGGGTACACTGTAGAACAAATATTAAACATTAAAATATTGCCCTAGCCGGTTTGGCTCAGTGGATAGAGTGTCGGCCTGTGGACTGAAAGGTCCTGGGTTTGATTCCAGTTAAGGGCACATGCCTGGGTTGCAGGCTCAATCCCCAGTAGGGGGCATACAGGAGGCAGCCAGTCAAAGATTCTCTCTTATTGATATTTTCAACCCTCTCTCCCTCTCCCTCCCTCCCTGAAATAATAATTTAAGAAAATGTATTTAAAAATAACATAAAATAAAATTATCTTCTACCTATGGTAAAATAGAAGGAATCATAAACCAGACAACTAAATAAACATGACTAAAAATAAAAATATTAAAAGTCTCTCTCTCCCTCTCCCTTCCTCCCTGAAATAATAATTTAAAAAAATGTATCTATAAAATAAAATAAAATAAAATTATCTTCTACCTATGGTAAGATAGAAGGAATCATAAACCAGACAATTAAATAAACATGACTAAAAATAAAAATATTAAAAAGTGATTCTACTATGTCAGTGCTCCTGTTACCATTGTAACTAGCTAGTTAATATTAAAATAGGAAGAGAGCAAAGGGGAGACCAGACATTATAAGTACAGTCCTCTGGGCAGCTTCACCAGGAAGCTGCAGTTTCACACTCCCCACAGAGAAGCACAGATCCATTCCCTGCAGATCACTGGGGGAAGGGGCCCTACAAGGGGGGAGATGGACACAGGTACAGTAAAGTTGGGTGATGTGGTCTAGCCTGGGGAACAAAGATAATTGGCTAAGGAGTGGAGCCACTGCAAGCACAGGGGACCCAGAAGGATTCATTGGTTAAGCTCCCAGTTAAGATTCCCAGACAAAGGAGACCTCTCTCTCTTGTTCCTCTTGTGCTCCTGTTTCTCCCTTGCTCCTTGACCTCACACTAGCCTGCCAAGTGGCCCTAGAAGCTGCATGGTTCTTGGCTATGCAGATGCCCATGCAATGGGCTGCTGCTTGGAACACAAGCTCCCCTGGCCAGACACGGGACGGGACTAGACTTTAATATAGAGCAGAAACTCTTGAGAGTGGTTATAATCCTAGCTCTGCTGAAGACAAAAGGGTACTTTTTTTCCATGGCAAGACAGAGGGAGATGAACCCTTACTATTACATCATCAATAAAACTTTCCATGATACTTCATCCTCCTGTGTGTGTGGGGCGGGGGGAGAGGGCTTAGGAAATTCTTATTCTTGTGGCATCCCAAGAACCCCACTTCTGCCAGGAACAGGTGGGGACACAGGAAACACCACACCTATAACATTTCTATGGTTCTATATAAAAATGGAGAAGTACCCTAAGCAGAAGCAATAGAAGACAGAAATGAATAAATTATTTCCTGTGATCAGCTAAGAACAATCATAGAAAATAACCAGGTCAGAGAAGTGTCTCTGGGTACATCCACCTGTGAGTGGCCTGGGCTCCACACTGAGGAATAATCCAGTGCCACGTTTTCTCTTCTACCTTGAAGTAGCAAAATTTATTCATGCTTAGGAAATGATATATGCTTTGGAAATTTTCAGATTTGACATTTTCAACCAAATCAATCACTCTGAATCCTCCTAGTTCCTCTCTAAGAGAGATTCTGAATGTACAGAATGTTTGAAAAGCCTGCTTTGACTAAAACAGTAATTTTCTCCTCAAAATTAGAAATGGTAAACTCAAGCAGTTCTCCTACTGACAAAATACATTATCAGAAGTACCATTCATCTCAATATAAGTTTTATTTTAGAAATTTACTACTATCTCATATAATTTAGCTTTTGAATCATCTTTAAATTAAAGTGCTTAGGCTTATTAAAAATGTGAAAATTCAAATTTATTTCTGATGTTTACCTTTATCCTTTCTAAATAGCATGAGTATATTAGTACTTACGAAGAGTGGTTAGAATTTTATTAGTACTTCATTTTCAAGTTCATGCAAGTACTTTTCATCATGGACATTATTAGGAAAAACACAATGCATTGAATCATAAAAACCATTGCTGCTTCCTTCCCCGCACCCATGGCAGACATCACTGATAAATCATAGTTCTTCCATGAATCAAACTTTTTCTCTAAACATTATTCTAGCTAA